CAGATTCCGAAATCAATACCATACCGCTTTTCTTCTATCACAGCCGAAAGGATTCTCCTCCCAGCAGTTGTAGTTGAATGGCATTGAATAGTAGAGAAGATTACTGATGAAACCAGTATCTCATTATTCAGTAAGGTGCTGGTGCTTATTGTAAGACCTCCGTACTCAGGCCTTTGCAAGTTTACTCGACGATTCTATTCCATCGGGGTTTCCATTGGATTCACAGACAGTAGCGGCACATCCGGTTACACTCAAGGCGAGTGCTGCTTTAGCTGTGCCCAAGGTCCAGTGATCCAACTAATCGTTGACAGGGAGAACCAATATAGGATACCACTCAACCGCATGTTATTGGCCTAAGTCTCGTGCAGTGTATGAGGTGTATGCGACATTTTTCGGGGTGAATCAAACTCGGCACATTCGTGGGTGGAGGAAATGAATTCATAGTGTTGGATAGACAATTTTCGACAAGGAAAACTTTCGCAGTAAACTGCATTCGTTATCAGTATGCTGAATATATGTCCACAAGAAAATTTTCGAAATTTTTGACAGCTTACGTAAACGTGAATTACGTCAATTCAAACAACAGGATGTCTTCCGCTGTGATTTCGTCCACTGCATATTATGTTAGAGAACCAAAATGTATGGACAGTTCAGCTCACATTCATTGTCATCACTCAACACTCTAGACCGTATTCTTTGGGTTCACCTCTTTAGCTGGACACAAGTTCTTTTCATTTCGTTCAGCTGTAGCAACATTTCAGTGCCTATCTGCCATGCCACCCGAGGGAAGCACGAGGGCTGGGATACTGCCGGGTTGCCCAAGCCTAGACAGTGTAAGTCGAGAGGCAGAGGTCAGGTTCAAACCACGGACCTTCCGATCAGTAAATACGCGCTCTAACCACTTGGGCCATCTTGTCCCCGGAGATGTTTAGTCAATAGGGTTCATGCTATCAACAAGCAAGCAGAAATTTTCCCAACCCATTACATCCGGTAACCACGCAGGAACACCTTAGGAACCACCCTACCTCATTGTGAAAGTACTAATTCACCCACTACAATGCACAACTAGCTTTACCAATCAGTTTCATTAGATGATGACAATATTGCGGCAAAACACTTCTTTGAGACTATTTTTCCTGAAATCCGTGGTAAAAAAAGGGTAATTCGCTAATAAGATGTACGACGCTGTACTTGTATGATCTTAGTGAAGTACTTGTTCAGAGTATCCAGCATTCAGCGAGCATACTTCTAGATAAACTAGCCAACGTTTTTTCAAAAGTTATTTGAATGATCCTGTCATACTCAATTAAAATATCAGTCATCTTGTATGATCTTGCTTATGATTGTTACACCACTGCGATGTTTTCCGCGAACTCATTTCGAATTTGTAGCCTGCTTCGTGCTCTCTGTCCTACTGGTAAACTGATATTTCGCCACAAGTTCCTGAACATGTCTTTCTGTTACTGGTTGCGTCGTATCGACAGTTATATTGAACCAACGCAGTCGCTGCCGTCGGAATCGCGCTGCTGTAATGGCACCTTCTACTGCTGGCTGCAATACCGTTTAGGTGGAACCAAACACAGTTGGGAACTTCCTGTCCCGCAAGAATATCTCATTTGAGTGTGCAAATCAACAGGAAAATCAACCAATCGTTTGCTATAGCGAGTTGTCCAATCATGGACGAGTCTGATGCATGTGTCGACTCTGATCGATGGGCATTAAAATGAACCTGTGTTTTGGTGCAAGCCGGGGAAACAATCTGGCTCACAATTTACGTGGGATTCCTTCTAACGGTTACCCAAATGGCACCACTATCTGTCTCCGGTCGCCCGTACCAACTAAAACCGGTTAGGCGCTGTCGCAAGAGTTCCGTTTTTAGCGTCATGAGTCCAACCTACGGCTGACTGCATCAGTCTTGTTTTGTGACATGATTTTAGTCAAGTACTTGTTCAGAGTATCCTCCAGCATTCAGCGAGCATACTTCTAGATAAACTAGCCAACGTTTTTCCAAAAGTTATTTGAATGATCCTGTCATACTCAGTTAAAATATCAGTCATCTTGTATGATCTTGCTTGTGATTGTTACACCGCTGCGATGTTTTCCGCGAACTCATTTCGAATTTGTAGCCTGCTTCGTGCTCTCTGTCCTACTGGTAAACTGATATTTCGCCACAAGTTCCTGAACATGTCTTTCTGTTACTGGTTGCGTCGTATCGACAGTTATATTGAACCAACGCAGTCGCTGCCGTCGGAATCGCGCTGCTGTAATGGCACCTTCTACTGCTGGCTGCAATACCGCTTAGGTGGAACCAAACACAGTTGGGAACTTCCTGTCCCGCAAGAATATCTCATTTGAGTGTGCAAATCAACAGGAAAATCAACCAATCATTTGCTGTAGCGAATTGTCCAATCATGGACGAGTCTGATGCATGTGTCGACTCTGATCGATGGGCATTAAAATGAACCTGTGTTTTGGTGCAAGCCGGGGAAACAATCTGGCTCACAATTTACGTGGGATTCCTTCTAACGGTTACCCAAATGGCACCACTATCTGTCTCCGGTCGCCCGTACCAACTAAAACCGGTTAGGCGCTGTCGCAAGAGTTCCGTTTTTAGCGTCATGAGTCCAACCTACGGCTGACTGCATCAGTCTTGTTTTGTGACGCACACAGCCGTTTCGATTGTTTGGCATCCCTCCAGCACATCGAAGTTGATTGGGTGAGGCTTCCGATTCTTACCTGTGTTTCTGATGTCCGCTTACAGCTGCACGCGATCCAGACAGACTTCGTCATCGGTCGATGGAATTTTAGCAGGTATTGCAACAGTGAATCGGTTGCAGTTAGATAGCCTGCCACACGGGTCCGTGTGAGTTGTGTGTGCAACATGGCGCATCGGTGCAGTGCTCCTGTTTTTTAGGGAGGGGCACCGATGTTGGTCTCTACTAAAAAAAGCAAGAGGCTTTACGGGCTAACAGGGCACAAGAACTAAAGACCCGTAGCAAACTCACCCACACACGTCGGCCACCTGTCTACACAATCGACACTGGGCGCCGATGTGGTCTCTACTAAAAAAAGCAAGAGGCTTTACGGGCTAACAGGGCACAAGAACTAAAGACCCGTAGCAAACTCACCCACACACGTCGGTCACCTGTCTATACAATCGACACTGGAATGTATGGCTCCTGCCTCCCTTTATCAGCCGACTGATTTCACGCGGTCTTCGCCGTTGCCGTAGGTCGTAGCACCTGTGTTAAGCTGGTGGCACTGCTTAGTTATATTTTTAGCCCTATAGTTCCCAGGGCTTGTGAGCTCAGCAAAACGACTTACGTATCCTGAGTTTGTGAGCTATTCTAACCGATAGATTGCCCGACTTTGCCCAAATGAACACCAATCGATTGCACAAACGGCATCTAGGTTGGACGGACAACCAGCACATTACGGTTTGCTCCGATCAGTCAGTAGCATGGAATTAGCACAGTGCATTGGCATCTAAACTGAGAGACATCGACAGGATAGACTATTTCACTCATTGTACAATTTAGCCTGGTAGCAACAATCGATATGGAACCTTAGCCTTTCGAATTTACCAAAACCCTAGAATTCAGTTGTTTTGGAGAGAGCGAAACAAACTGACAATTGAGGTTCTCATTTTCACGCAGCGCGTGGTCAATGAAGTTGGTAGTATGTGGGAAATTCAGCCGTGTTTGCATTTTTCAAATGAAGGTGATGAATAAGCTTTTTGACACCTTTCTGGTTACCAGTACATCGTTTTTCCCAACCATTTCTCATTACCTACCAGGAAAATTGAGCCAAACAGGAAGTGCGTCGTGATTGATTGCGAGACTCTAAGCAGCAGATGACCTGACACGTAATGTCAGGCCACGACATCATCACAGTGCTCAAAAGTTCCGTGTTGGTCTACGCCAAAATTGTAGCATATGAGGAACGCTGTTGTTGCTATCTCTCCATAGACTGTGTAGCAAAAGTTGTGGTGATTTAGTCCATCACTTTTTTGACCACGCACCCACAGTTTGCTTTGACACTCGTATTCTGGTGGGTCACGTGTTGATGAGTAATAATATGTACGATAAACAATGGTCCTCCATCTGTGGAAATCTTCCGATGCATGACCACCGTGTAACTTAAAATAAGGACGAGGTTTGACATAATATCGGGTTTCCCAGGATTGGGCCTGGAGCACGAACCCTCCGGGGCCTAGTCTAGCGTCTGGACAGCTGAGCCATCTCGTGTAGCTGAGTAGACACTCCTGAACTTTTTCAAAATGGCCGCAGAAACTACTCTGATTTAACCGCGGTTCCTATGTAGTGAAGCAGTGCTTTTGGACTAGCTGGCAGACTTATTCAGCAAACTACACAAGTTTTTTACTATAGGCATATTTTAACTACACTTAGCCATATTTCACCATAGAACTAAATGTCTTCATTTGGTAAACTGAAAAATCCATATTAGGGATCGATCTTTGTCGTGTCGAGGATTGAACTGCTCCATAACCGGACTTCACAATAAGTGGAACACTCGGGGCAATTCCACTTGTTCTCCGAAGCAGATGCGTGAACTTTTACGCATCAGTCATTGATACGATACAATTTGATCATCAACACTGAATTATGAAGTCTAACATCATCGGCCGCTTTTCTGCTTATCCGAACCAATAATCCATTCTTTTTGCTGCTGTGAGAATAGCTGAACACTGTCCATCTAAACCTCAGCGTACGATTAGGAAAGATAGGCTGGTAGCATACTGAGGTGCTTAAATGCTAACTTATAGGGCTACCAGTGCTGATAAATTCAAATGACTAAAGACAAGACTACTCGACTCCGTACACGAGTTGGTAGGTGGGTTACTCAGCAAATTACTATTGTGTGATGAGCGCTTCTGAGCGATTCCACGCCAGTACATCGATTTTAGTCACTCACACTTATCGAAACAGCCTATGAAATGGGTTAGGGATGATCCCCTTACTACACAAAAGAGTGTTTACCGTAAACTTCACCACACTGATGATAAACCGCCTGCGGTTCTGTCTACGAATCATGCCGTTGTTCGGACCCCTGTGGGACCTTTTTGAGTTGACACTGCTGATCACAGTAAGCCAAAATGATATCTGCAAAAAAATGAAAATAGTTTTGTTTGCAAAACTAATACGTTCAAAGGCAACTGAGCGCTGATCGACGTAAATGACAAGGACTATAAAGGAAATTCCGGTTAATTAAATGTTCGGTTGATTGTTATGCTATTTTTGATCCTTAAGTGGGTATCAAAAGTTCATTCACTCGTACTTTGTCCCATGCAGTTGGTTGGAGATTTGGACTGGTTAGTTCCAAAGAGATCTTGCTTGTACATTGTGTTATTTTGGGGCCTGAGCGGTGCAGGCAGATAGGTTATAGCTCTGGAGGTATGAATGCAAATACGGGCTGATTCCCTACGTATTGCTGAAAACTTTCCGCTTAGGCTGCATAGACTGGCCTACAATGACCAACCACAACTGAGAAATTACGGACACTGATTCGGTTTATTTGTGCCTTTGTACTCGGTCGTACTTCGTAAACATCAAGGAAGAAAGGAAAAGAGAATGTCATATTGTGTATTCTTGTCGATCCAAAGATGCCAATTGTACGGACGTTTCACAGACCTCTTAGGTTCGGGGTTAATGTATGGCACGTACAGCCTTGGCTATAGGGTGGCTCACATCTAAAGTACAGGGAGACGAGATAAATACTTGGACGGGCAGCGGTCATGCTTCACAGAGAACGAACCGGATCGCGAATCATGTTGCGCGGAGCCTTGAATAGAAGTGATCAGCCCTGGAAAAGCAATCTGTCGCTTGTTTTGTCATTATTGGGACTCATCGATGAATATATTTACCTGATATCTACGTCTAAATTCATGATCAAAAATAGTGCAGATCAGAGAACAACTGAACCATAAACAGCACTGTCTGATCTAGCAAACTGCGCTTCCGTATAAACCCCGAAATCGAGCGGTCATCGAATTCAACCTATTCAACTGCATTAACTTTACGGCAAGTAATGATAATGATACAGTCCCTAGGAAGGGCCCCGCTAAGGATGTAACTGCAAGCGGCACTCCAATTTGCGGGTGTGTATCATACCAACCTTTTAATGCCACCGACATGGATAGCGAAATTATCCATTCTGAAAGCCACAAATGCCATGTACAGTCGCTTCCTCTGTAGAAACTCCGCTCGCCAGCGATCAGCGACCAAAGGCAGTTAGTTCTTCGACGTTATTTCCAAAAGTAAACCAGCTGTCAGATTCGATAATTTTCAGCCAATCTTCGGGGTGTTCTCTATGCAATGAAACCATTATATCATCAGTCAAGATAAATAAACTCGATCTCTATTTTCCAGGATTATCATACCCCTCCAAGGTGTTACTATGAGGAATTAGGTGTTAGGGCCCTCTCGCTTGGGAATCGCACCACTGATTTTAGTTCACAAAGAGCACTCTTTTGGACTCTGCTCGGTTTTTCATTCTGAAAAATGTTATTGCCCTCATTGTCCAGCAGTATGTATTACGCTGAGTACTGCTTAGTCAGTAGACTAAGTGACATAGGGAACAAGCTCGCTGAAGTATCAATGAGAAGTGATCTGACAGCAGATTTGGGAGATCCCTCTTTTTTTAGAACTTTAGAATAAAATGGAATTTTTACGTGGATAGTAAACGACTGTTAAATTGTTTCAATGAATGAAGAGGTCACTCGCCTGTAAACTATCCAGAGGATCATACGGTACGACTTTATTATGGATCAATAATTAATTAGATAATATCCAACAGGTAAAATGATCAATAGGTACACGTGATTGGTTGCTCCACAGCACAAGTAATTGAAAATATGGTACTTTACGCACTAGTTTGCATTCGCATAACCATCTGCTTTCGGTCCAACTGTCCTCTGTCAGTCGCAGCACCTTCCGTTTGGAGAGATCCACACTCAGGCATTTCATCTATCCCTAGATGCAAAACGACTGGCGATATTTGACGAAACGATATTTTTTTTTGGTTTTTTGGTGGTTATGGCTGTAGCTGATTGAACTTTCATTGCACAACATTTTAAGGATTATTCTCGGCAGTTTAGGCCGGAAAATGTCTGCACGAATTTCCATAGGTTGCTGATTGCAAGCGACCGTAGCTCGCCCTGTGTAAAATCAGGTCGATACGTGGGGATGTAGGGTAATTCATAAGTCATCACATGAGGATTTTCAGAGCGTAAAGCTACCAGCTTGTTTATTATGATTTGTGATCTGAGTGCCGTTGGCTGATGTCAAGCAGAGCTTTTCTCTTCAAGCCTGCGTTGAGGGTTCTAAATGTCGAGTGTATGGATCTGGATGAGTGATTTTTTTCTAGCTATTCCAGAATGAACATTCTACTTCGTTTTCTGCATTAAAGCAGATTGCTACTGCTCTACTCTTATGTGTTCTACTTAATAGATTCCGTTACTGTTTTGTGAACAAGCTGAAGCCAACACTACCGCTAAAATAGTTATGAAATCAATTGTGCAGCCATCCCGTTGACCCAAATCTCAGAACACCTGGCTGGGTACAGAGAAAACGCATTCTTAAGACAATGGGCTGAGGCATAGCTAAGGCACATATACTCGCATCAACAGTGAAGTAACAGACGACCAACAGGCAATCTGGTCAAAACGTACACGCGGCTAGATGGAGTGCTGCGCCACTTGGTGCGGACACGATACGTCACGGGCGATTGTTGCAGTCACATAGTGACCTGCTTCCTGTCCAGTAGTGTCGTTCTCTTCTGAACCATGGTATGTCGCTGAATAGGCCTACCATAACAAATAGGGCTTTTTTGTGTAGAGATCAAAGTCTGCTTCTTTCCACACAAAATTATGTTCTTCTGGCGGAACCATCCTTGGAAAAAAACACTTCTCAAGAGCACTCCAAGTGGTCTATGCAGAGCGAAAAACTGAGGAGGAACCATCTGAAGGCACAAGGTGAAAGTGTTTTCTTTTGAGGCCAGTCTACTCTGGGTGGACTTTGACCGTTTCCAAAAATTTGAAGTGACCAGCTCGAAGTGGTTTTTCGAATTTCTGTCTCGACAGGAATGCATTAGTTGGGTGTTACAGCGGTTTGATTTGTGCTCTGAAACCAGTAGCCACGTGGGAAATGATATTGTCTCATTGCACTTAATCAGATGTCAACTTGGTATGCAAACCAAACAAGTATATTTTGCATACTGGTCTTTGTGAATAGGGGCATTTACATCATACTAAGCTCGGAGTCTTTCTAGAGAATTCGGGAACGACCGATTTGGAGCTAAATCCCATTAGGGACCCCGAGTGTATGTGGGTGGTAAACCGCTGTGTGCAGGAGTTCAGTCATCGAACCATCAGTCATGAAATTGCAACCTGTTGCCTATACAGGTGCCCGAGGTAGTGCGATGCAGCGGTTCTCTTGGTGTCCGTGCAGTACAAGGCATGTGTTCCCAACCTCCGCTCCTCCCACCTATTTTAGTTTCGCTTAAAAGGTTGAAAACAAAATTCAGATGAATACATCTACATTCCACTATTTCCAGTAAACAAAAGCAAAATAATTTATCTGGAATATCTGCATATGCAAAGGCATTAACAAAATCGGATGATATATATATATATATATAATATGGGGCAAAGCTTTGATCTACATTAGTAGGCGGACTGTGCACAAAAATACTTATCACAGAAGAATATATATATATATATATTTGGTGTAGATGAGCATGTAGAATTGGGAACACACGGAAGCACATGTGGGCCATCAACCTACTCAACGGGCTGCGTGCTTAGTGTAACTAACAGGAGATGAAGTGAGTTTGTTTCATTTTCCAGTCATTAC